AGGATCCCCAAGAAAATATGGAAAAATATGGGAAGTGGAGGGGAACACAGAAACACGGAAAATATGGGGAATCCGGTTATTTGTGTGTAGTTATTTGTGTGTCCCAGGGCCCTTTCAGTTATCGTCGCGCCCATCGGAAGTGGTGCCGTTCCAGCCCCCGCGCGGCCCGCGCGGTCTTCGCTGGATCGTCGGAGGCGCGGCCGCGCGCGAGCGCCTCCAGCTTAATTACGAGGTGGGAGCGCGCTCCGATCCCACAAACTGCCCCAGTCACATTCAAACCCCGTCCTACCAAGACGCACTGATCCCCAGACCCACTTGTATTCCTAATCTCGCACAGTCTGACCTATGTATATTCAGACGCGCGTATACTTAGTAACCCTTCGGTTCGGCATCATTCACCATCTGCACGACTCGTACCTCGTCAGCTTCAGCACAACACGCAAACCAATTCGCGCAGATTCAGACACTGAGACTGGAAAACGTTGGAAGAATGATGCTCTCCGTGCTCAACAGGTCTTTGCACCGCGCAAACCTGCAGCATGCCAATATTATGGTCATCTACGTGCTGTACTTGCGACATTGGTAAGGTCAAAGCACCCCATCACACACCTCGCGTGGTTTGTCATCCTTCCCCCGCCTCCTCCTGTTTCCCCCTGTCGTGCTATTCCGCCTCTTCCTCCTCCGCCTCTTCCTCCTCCTCCTCCTCCTCCACTTCCTCCTCCTCCTCCTCCTCATCCTCCTCCTCCTCCTCCTCCTCCTCCTCCTCCTCCTCCTCGTTATCATCGTGCTGCGAAGGTGTTGGACCGCCGTCTTTAAGGCATCATCATCATCCACCACCGCAACCAACATCGTCTTGCCCATCCCTCGCGTGATCTTCCCCTCCGCCCCCCCCTCCTCCGCATCCCCTCACGTCTTCCTCCCACACTCCCCTCGTCCCTCGTCCCCCTTCTCCGCCCTCGCCCTCCTCCAGCCCGTCCCTTGTTCTAAGTCGGGCGTGTCCCTCTACAGGAGGGATATTCACAATGGTCAAAAAATAGTCTGGGACGATGTTTTGAATATGTTTGAGCATTGGGGGAGCATGTTTGGTGTATTTTCAGTTGTTCGCCCAAAAGAACCCTGTAGTGGGACATGCCCGACCTGATCCTTGCTCCCTGAACTCACCTCCCTCCCGTCCATCCTCCTCCCCCCGTTCCCGCCAGCACTCGGAGGTCCACGGGTCGACGAGTGCGCCTGTGGGAGGGGCGCAGCCCCAAATCTGGGGCTCCTGCGCAAGGCACGCTCGGCGAAGAAGCCCGCAAGATCTCCTCGCTCACACGCACCCGCAGGGGGAGTTCTCGGCCGAACCCTTACCTCCATGCCTCCGCCCTCCGCTCGCCTCGGCCATCCGAGGCCTGGAGCAGTACCCGAAGATAGACAAGCGCGCCAGGAACAGGCTGGAGAAGGCTCTCGTGGACAACAGGCGCGCGCTCGCGCACGCGCGCGCGCACGCGCGCGCGCACGCGCGCCTCCCGCGCGCACGCCGCGCGCGCCCGGCTGCGCCGCCCAGAGGACGATCGAGCGATCCCCTCCTTCGCTTCCCCAGACATGTTCGCGTCGTGGCAAGAACACGACGGACGGCTTTTGACCGCTCTCGGCATGGGGGCCTTCGCCGGGCCCCAGGCCGTCAAAGGATGGCCTGGGATGACAAAGTCTAGGCCTCTTAAATGGGGTCGGAGTAGATGGGGTCGGAGGATCGCGCCGCATCGCCAATACATCGGCGATGTATCGGCAATGCGGCTCAATGTGGAGCCACGCTGGCGTCGCCGAGGCATCGCCGATGTCGCCGATGCATCGCCAATGCATCGGCGGTGTATCGCCGATGTGTCGGCGATGCGGCGCGAATCTCCGACCCCACCTACTCAGACCCCATCTAGGAGGCCTCTAAGAGGCGGCCTTGGAGAAAGGCTCGGGACCCTGGGGGCACCGCACCCAAAAATCACGACGTCGGATGCGTTGGCCTCTGTGCCTCGCCCGTGTCCTCCCCGTGAGGGTTTTTTGGCGCCCGCGCCGCGGGGATCCCGGGTGGTCAGTGTCTCCTCCTCCTTCTCTTCCTCCTCCTCCTCCTCCTCCTCCTCCTCTCCTCCTCCTTCTCCTCGTGATCCTCCTCTTTTCCTCCTCCTCCTCCTCTTCCTGCTCCTCCTCCTCCTCCTCCTCCTTCTCCTCCTCCGCTTCCTCCTCCTCTTCCTCCTCCTCCTCCTCATGCGACTACACTGCGAGTCGCGCATCGAAGACGCCCACAGCGAGTCACCGCCGCCCGCTGCCTTTCTGGAAACGCCCGCGCGACCAGACGTGAGGCCCAGATTGGCCAAGCAGTTGGACCGCGCGTTCCCCCAGCCGCGGCGGAAAGCCTTGGTGGAGGAAGAGGGGGAGGAGGAGACGGACAGGAAGGAGGTTGTGGAGGAGGAGGAGGAGGAGGAAAAGAGGAGGATCACGAGGAGAAGGAGGAGGAGGAGGAGGAAGAGAAGAGAAGAGAAGAGAAGAGAAGAGAAGAGAAGAGAAGAGAAGAGAAGAGAAGAGAAGAGAAGAGAAGAGAAAGAGGAGGAGGAGGAGGAGGAGGAGACGGGCAGGAAGGAGGAGGAGCAGGAGGAGGCCGCTTGAGGGCCTCGTTGTCTCAGGGGCGATCGTGCGGGCCTCTGGTGCCGCCGCGGGCGTGCGAGAGCCCGAAAGTACAGGCAGACGAAGATCCTTTGATACCGAACGCGCTGGGGCGATGTTCGCCTCTGGCGGGCGGCGTGGCCAGCGTGTACTGCTCCATGCTCGCGCGACGCCTCGTCGCTGCCACGTGCGCGCGGCGGCGGCCCTGACGTTTCCCTCTCGCACCGTGCTGTTGAGCACCGGGTGTGCAGTTCCCCCTCGGAGCCGTCTTGGAGCTGTCGCGGAGGCCATCTGCTGCCGCTTTGGGGGCCCTCCCAGCCGGCTTGCCATCCCGGAAGCGTCTTGGGGCCAGCTCGGATCAACTTGTGGGGATGCCGGCGGGCTGGGCCGAGACCCCGCGAGGCCTTGAAGCTTGCAGCTTCCCTCGGGGATCGCGCCCCCCCCCGAAGGACTGGCCCAGAAGCGAAGCCCCCGCCAAAGGAGAGGGGCCCCGAAGACAAGGAGGCGCACGCGCGCGCGTTGGGAGCCGCCGCCGCCGCCGCCGCCGAGGGCGGCGGCGTCGACGGCGTCGTCGGCGTCGTCGGCGCCGCGCGCGCGTCCGCACGCGCGCGCTCGCGCCGACGCGGGCGCGGCGGCAGCGGCTGGCGGCTCGGAGCGCCGCGCGGCCGCCCCCGCGCGCCGGAAGCTGCCGCGGCGGCCCTGCGGCGGCGATGCCGCCGCGGCGCCCCGGCAGCGCGAGGGCGAGGCGGGTCGTCGGCGCCGTCGGGGTCGTCGTCGCCGCGGCCGCCACCGCCGTCGTCGGTGCCGCCGCCGCCGCCGTCCTCCCCTCCTCCTCCTCCTCCTCCTCCTCCTCCTCCTCCTCCTCCTTCTCCTGCGCCATCCTCCTCCTCCCTCCTTCCGAGGAGCAAGAGGTCATGAGTCATGATGGTGGTGCTTTCCAGGATTTCCGGGGGGGGGGCCCAGATTTCTCCATCTCTCCCGATGATCCGCACTGGCAGCGCCGGCCGCAGGATGCTCTGGAGATCATGGAACGCATCCTGAGCAAAGTCCATCATGACATCAGTATTGCCCTACTCCTCCCTACTCGTACTAAAGCGTTGTTTTTCCCCCATCGCCGCTGCCCTCATCTTCGCCGCGGCCGCCACCGCCGTCGTCAGCAGCACCGCCGTCGCTGCCGCAGAAGGAGCACGCGTACCCCGACCTCCTCTTGGTTGCATAGAAATCGCGACGGACGGTGGTTGCCTATTGTCTGCCTCTGAGGGCCCTCCCCGGGACCAGGGACCTTCAAACATTGCTCCCAGGGAAAAGGTCGAGGCTTCCAGGGACCCGTACTGAAAAAATCGGACATCACATGCCTAGGGAGGGGTTCGCGCCCCCCTTGTCCTTCCCCATCTCTGGTTAATTCAAGCTTCGCGCGGCCCGCTTAGCTTCGACCGGAAGAGGTGCGCTCTCGACCCGCGAATCAAAAAATGTCTAGGGAGGCCCCGCAGAGCCCCCAGAGGGCCGAGCGGGGCCCGTGCCCAGGAGCTCCCGCACAGCCTGGGGATTTCCCGCGCAGGCATCCCTCCCGTCATGGCCCAGAGAGGTTGCCGCCTTGATATTCCACGTCCTTGGGTCCAGTGCAGTCCGCGGGCAGCTTGCTGCTCGGCCCGCTCATAGTGTCAAGTCGGGCCTGTCCCTCTACAGCAGGAGTATGCCAAAATAGCCGAACAAACCAAAAAGTCTGGGCACGACTTGTTCCAAACACGTTTGCCTATCTTTGGGTGTTTTTGACTCTGTCGCACTGTTCCGCCCAAAATCCGCCTGTGGGAGGGCACGCCCGACCTCATTCTGGTGCTCGCCCCCCGTGGAGTGGGACTTCTCCTGGACCACCTTCTGGCACAGCTCGCCGTGCCACCCCCAGAGGGACTCGAGCTTGGCCCAGCGCATCCAGGGTACCTTACAGTCAAGACGCTGAAATAAGGAACAGTTCGGGTTCGGAACGGGCTCGATGTTCCTTAGGTTCCTCCAGTGCCGTTCCTCTTGCCCTCCTGGGGCACGGAGGCGCTTACAGGGCCAAGAAGGGGCTTCGTTCCTTATCTGGCGTTCCTTCTTTCAGCGGCCCGATTGTAAGGCTTTCCAGAGATCCACTTCTCTGGCAAGATCCTGCGTGGCGTGATGTGGCGGGCTGTAACTGGCCAGGCCATGTTTCTTCGCCCCTCCAGCAGTTTTGGCGGCAGCAGTATAGGAAGCAACGCCTGGCCCAGAATATATCCGACGCAGGCCGCAGGCCAACGCGACCGTAGCCATGCCATCCCTGTTCAGTTTTGATTCTCAGCAGGCCTTCTCCATGCGTTGCTCATGATTGGATTCGCTTGGTCCTTCACATGCGTCCACCGCCAGCGCTCTGCCGGTTCCTCTCGGAGCCGCTTCGCCGCGCGCAGTGCCTCAGCGCGACGGGCGCGGACATGGCGTTGCTCTGTTACGTGCAAAATGGCATCATCCATGGCTGCCCTGGCCCAGGCTTGCTGTTCTCAATCGTAGGTGCCCCGTCCACGCACGACTTCGACCGCGGCATCAGCGCGAGGTCGGCCTGGCGCGCACCTGCACGGACCACGTTGGCGCCGCCCCCCCGCGCATCCGCGCGCTGCTCATCTTCTACCGCACCTTCAAAGCTGCCGAGAGGTTCTCGGCCCTGACCCCGGAGGTTGCACAACGTAAACCGCTCGTTTTGGAGAACTACATCCATCAGACACGGTTGGTCCCTACCAGACGGCGTGGTCGCAAGAACAGATTCCTGAATAGATTCCGTCGAGGTCCTCGCATGCCTGGCGCACTCCGGCATGTACTTAGGGCATGCGGCCCTCCGCAACAGTTGGAGAGCCCCGCTGGCGAAGTGGAGAAGCAGGAGCACTAAGCACTACAACAGCAGTGTCGGCTTCTCCTGGACGCGCCACAGCCAACGACCACAGCGCGAGGCGCACCATCGCCCTGAGCTGCGCGGGCCAGTCCACGCCGCCGCCCGCGGACACCGGCAGGAGGGGGTGGGGGGTGGGGGGGGGGGTTCTTAGAAACACCCCTGCTTCTTGGAAGCCGCGGGCCTTACCTGTAGATGTGAGGCCGGCGCTTTCTAAGAAGCAGCCTCCTAAAAAGCCCTCCCCCCTCCCTCCACCCCCTTCTGCGCGCCGCCAAAGGGCTGGGGCCGCCCCGTTCGTCGGATTGCGGCACGCTGCCCACTGCACCCCCCTGGGGGGCGGCCAGTTCAACCTCTCGCGCCGAGCAGGCCCCCGCTCCCAGAGAGTACTGTACCCCACCCCCCCCTGCGGGCGCGGCCCTCACCCAGAGCACGCCGAGGGATTTTCGAGAGTTGGCGGCCGACGGCCCCAAGGCTTCGGGAAGAGGCCGGGGCCGCCCTGCCCGCCTCGCGCGCGGCGCATGGCCTGCCCCCCCCCCCCCCCCGGTTTTGGCAGCAGGCTCCTCGCGCGGAGTTGTTGGAAGCCGCCCGCCCGGGAGTGCTCCCCGAGGCCCGTCGGACAGGGGCTGCTCACCGTCTCCCCCGAGGCTCTGTTGACGGTTGTCGTGGCCCGCCTGGCCAATCGGCCCCCTGAAACGGAGGCCCAGATCCGAGCGTGGACGTCCGACGGCGCACGTTGGCAGTGCCATTTCCCGCAAGCGAGTGTTGCCTGAAAGCTCCTCGTGGACGGGCGGGCGACCGACCAGCGCTGTCAGAAGGGAGGTAAGTGACGGTAAGTGTTTCCTCGGTTGCAGTCAGTGTGGAATTAGTTTCGCACGCGATTTGTTGTTTTCTCTCTCTCTCTCTCTCCCTCTCTCTTTCCATATATATGTGTGTGTAAAATATCACTATTGGTCCTGCCCTCGCTTCGTCCACATCGTTGTGCCTCATCCTTCAGATCCGTTTCCCCCCTGGCTGCCCCATGTTGCGCCTTGGTCCGATTGCGCCCTCCGTTGGCTCTCTCAGTGTCCCTGCTGCCGCCATTCTGCTTCACCACCAGCCGAGTTCGCTGAGGGGATTTGAAGCTTTCGAGGAGCCGGCTGCTCGTTCGATCGCCGCCACTGCGCGGTTCCAGCCGGCAAGGCACGGAGGAGGAGTGAGCGGCCGCCTCGGCCGAGTGCCAGGAGGCCGGACAGGATGCAGAGGAGCAGCAGTGTCCTTGTCAAAACCGAGTTGGAAAAAGCGCCCTCGAAGCTCGATTCGACCCCTCGGAACCCGATCGACGGCGTCGACGACGAGGACGGCGACGGCGGCGGCGGCGACGGTGGCGGCGGCGACGAGGACGACGGCCACGACGACGAGCCTCTGGCGGCGGGCCGCCGTGCTGGCCCGCCGCCCCGGCCGCGCCGGCGCCAGGTCCGCGCCCCACGGCATCGGCGCGGGCTCGCCACCGTCAGACGGGTCGCCCTCTCGCGGGCTGGCCCGCGGGGTGTCGGACGGCTCGCCGCACACGGGCTCCCCCGTCAACGCGTGGGGGAGTCCCCTGGGCAGGCCGCCGCGGATCGAGGAACAGACAGCGGCACGAACATGAAGTCTCGACACTCCGCGCGCGCGTCTTGGATCTGCGTCGGAGGCTCCCTGGCGGCGCCTCCTGCACCGCCCCTGGCCCCTGGCGCGCTCCGTGCGCCAGGGACGGGGGCCCAGCGCCGATCCGAGAGATCCGTGTGGAGCTCCGGAAGTTCATGTCGATGGAATTCAGAGCCCCCAATCATCAGGGGTAACTCGCGCCAGGGCTAACTCGGGTTCGTTTTCGTTTTGCGGGAATGCAAACCCGAGTCACCCCGGACCCGAGCTGCCCCGGATCACTCGGGCGCCCAAGTGTGGAGCTCCGGAAGCTCATGTCCGTGGAGCTGTTTGTTCCTCGAGCGGAAGAACCTCACGCTGTCGTCCGGCTCGCTGGCGTCCCGCTCGCCCACGGCGGAGGCGGGGGGCTCTCTTGGGAGGCGCCCCATCGAGGTCGGAGGGCCCAGGTTTCTGTGGCGTTCTTGTCTTTTGTTTTTGGGGGGGCCAGGAGGCCCCTCGTCGCCAAGGCTACGTCGGGCTTGTCCTTTTATAGGGGGAATGTTCAAAAATAGCTGTGATTCAGATATAGATATAGATGTATAGCTATATAAATATACATATATATATATATATATATATATATATATACGTACGTACGTACGTACGTACGTACGTACGTACATACATACACACACACACATACATACATACATACATGCATGCATACATACATACATACATACATACATACATACATACATACATATATACATACATACATACATGAATGCATGCATACATGCATACATATATGCATACACACATACATGCATGCATGCATGCATACACACACATACATGCATGCATGCATGCATACATACATATACGCATACATACATGAATACATGCATGCATACATATATACATACATACATACATACATACATACATACATACATGCATACAAACATGCATACAAACATGCGTACATAGACATACATACATACATACATACATACATACATACATACATGCATACATACATACATACATACATGCACACATACATACATACATACATGCATACATGCATGCATGCATACATACATACGCACATACACACACATACATACATATATACATCCATGCATGAATGCATGCATACATGCATGTATGCAGGCATACATACACACATGCATACAGACAGACATGGATACATGCATACGTGCATGCATACATACATACATGTCTGTATGTATACATACAGAACTCGATATAGAGACCAAAACAAAAAAAAACGCACAACAACAACAACAACAACAACAACAACAACAACAACAACAACAACAACAACAGCAACAGCAACAGCAACAGCAACAGCAACAGCAACAGCAACAACAACAACAACAGCAGCAACAACAACAACAGCAACAACAACAACAAACTGGGGACGACTTTCTATCATTTCTGACTATTTCTGAAAATGTTGGACTATCTTCGGTTTTTCGCCCAAAATCCGTCTGCAGGGGGACATGACCGACCTAACGCAGAGGCTGGATTCGCCCCACGCATCTGGCCGGAGTACCCCCAAGGAAAGGTCCAGGGGCCGACGTTTTCAGCTCGAGGGGGGAGGTCGGATGGGGCCAGGGCGAGGATAGGTCCGTCCCAGAGCGTTCCGGAACGCTCTGAAGAGGCCGAGGCGCCCGAGACATCTCAGGAGGGAAAAAAGCACACAGACACAATTAATCGTCGATCCCCCAGAAAATATAGGAAAATATTGGAAGAGGGGGGAAAACAAAAACCCAGAAAATATGTGAAAGTATAGGGGAATCCAGTTATTTGTGTCTATTGTGTTGTGTGTCCCAGGGCCCCTTCAACATCCTCCAGAGCCGCCAGATGTCAGAGGTTCTCGACTTATCCTCGCCCGATTGTCTCCTCGTCCTGGTTTCGTCTTAGAGGAGGATCGGCGTGAAGACGGGCCCCAGGGAAGGCCCGTCGCCGTCGTCGGGCTCCCGAGGGGGCCCTCCCTGGGCTTTGGCGTCGTTAGAGAGAGGCTCGGGAGGAAAAGCTGGTCCTGGGGGTAGCCATGGGGCCCAGGTCACGCTCCCAGACCTCCCACGAGCTGATTGCTCCATCGCTGCGGGGCCCGACAGCGGCTCCCGGAAGCCCAAGCCGAGAGAAAAATGTCAAGTTGACCAAGAAAAGTCCGCCAGAGGGTTGGGAGTCCGCCTGGATCAGGTCGGGCATGTCCCCCTACAGGCGGATGCTCAAAGAAGAACGAAGCATGACAGACAAATGCCCAAACGTGTTCAAGCATAGTCCAAAAATCGTCCCCAGAGGTTTTTTATTACAGTTTTGGATATCCCTCCTGTAGGGGGACGTGCCCGACGGAACGCCAGGACCCCTTTCCCTCGTCCAGGGGCAGCGCTAAGGGCGGGGGGGGGGGGCAGGGGGGCATGCGCGGGGGAAGACGCATCGGCCCCCCGAGCGCCCAGACATCGCCGTAGGAGGGGGCCCGACCGGCAGCCCCGCCCCCGCCCAGGGCCGCGCGGCTTCGCTCTCGGGGCACTGTCGCCAATCGATCTGCTCGACTGCACGCAAGAGTGGCCTCTCGCCGGCGTGACCTCTGGTGCGGGCTCCTCGGGCTCCCCGCGATCGCCGAGCGCGATGCGACATGAGCGGCCCGCGCCCTTGGGTTTGGTTCCCTCGCGCCCCCAAAAGCTGCGCACCAAAGGTCACTCTTACCCAGGGTCGCTCTTACGCCCAGCCGATCTGCGATGTGCAGTGGGGGCGTTCGTTCGGGAGTGTGCCCAGGAGGCCTCGGACCCTCGGGGGTTCCTCATCTGATAGGGGGCGGCGCCGACATCCATGGCCAGGCCTCGTTCGGTGTTCCACCGGCTCCCAGACCCTGGATTCCGCATCGAAGGGTTCCTTGTCCACTGCGCCCACCGTACCGTCAATTCCAGCTTGACGTCCCCCCCCCCCCCCCGGGAGCGGGTCCCCCGCGAAAGTTGCCCCTCAGAGGAGGGGGGGGATGTTCGACCCCCAGCAGGGTCGACGAAGCATAACGGCAGTGGAGAGCCATGAGTTCTTGGAGGTCCGCGCCAGTTTCGGTCGGCGCTGGAACCCCCTCCCATCCGCCTCCTCGGGGCTCAAGAGACGGGTCAGCCAGAGCGCCTGCTCTTGCAGGATCCTCCAGGGCCAGGGGTGCACTGACCCAGCATGGACGGCCGCGAACCGGTCGGTTCGGTTGCGTCGGTGTCGGTTAGAATCGATCGGTTCGGTCGGTTCGGTTGTTGCGGAGTCCTTGCGTCGTCGCGCCCTCTTCGGTTACTTCGGTTGATTCGGTTTCGCCGCGGGCGCCTCGCTGGCGCCTCGTGCCGGCCCAGGGGATCGAATCGGCCGCCGGTTTCCAGTTCGGTTTCGCTGCCCACGGATTCGCGCCGATCTGATTCCGCTTGGCCTTTCCCTTTGAAGAAAAAGGGAGGAGGAAGAGGAGGAGGAGGTGGAGGAGCAGGAGGAGGAGAGGAGCAGGAGGAGGAGGAGCAGGAGCAGGAGCAAGGAGGTTGGTTGGCTGATTGGCCGGATGCGCGCAGTGGCGCATCGTTGGCCGGATAAATCTTGCCCCGTGGCCAGGCTTCGAAAACGCTTCTTCCACGGGAATTCCGGAGGCTCCCCGGAGGCGCCGAAGGCCCCGCGGGGAGAGAAAACATTTTTTCTGGCCTCGAAAAATGTTTTTTCGGCTCGTGGGGGTTCCGGAGGCTCCATGGAGGCGCCGAAGGCTCCGGGGAGAGAAAAACAATTTTTCAGCCCCCGAAAAATGTTTTTCGGCTTCCGGGGCCTCTGGAGGCTCCCTGGAGGCGCCGAAGGCCCCGGGGGAGAGGAAAACCATTTTTTGGGTCTCGAAAAATGCTTTTATGGCTTTCCGGAGCTCCAGAGGCTCCCTGGAGGCGCCGAAGGCCCTGGGGAGAGAAAAACAATTTTTCAGGCCTCGAAAAATGCTTTCGGGGGCTCTGGAGGCTCCCTGGAGGCGCCGAAGGCCCCGGGGAGAGAAAAACAATTTTTCAAGCCTCGAAAAATGTTTTTTCGGTTCCGGGGGGGCTCCGGAGGCTCCCTGGAGGCGCCGAAAACCCAGGGAGAGAAAAACAATTTTTCGGGCCCCGAAAAATGTTTTTTCGGCTGCCGGGGGCTCCGGAGCTCGAGAAATTGATTTTCGGGTCCTGGGGGTTTGGAAGTCCGCCGAGATTCAGACATCCGCCGCTTCCGCCGCCCGTCTGGCCCGAAATTTGCGGCGGGGGCGCATGCTGGCTGCGCCGCCGGGGCCTTGGGCGGAGCATTTATGGGGCCACGAAACTTGCGAGGGGTTCGCCGAAGTTCCTTGCGGGAGCGCGCGCGGGCTGCGCCGCTGGGAATTTTAGCGGAGCTCTGATGGAGCCATGAAGCGTGTGAGGGGTGCGCCGTCGCGGGGAGCGAGAGCGCATGCTGGCTGCGACACTGTGACCCTGCAGTTCGGTTTTCGCGTTCGGTCGGTTTCGGTCGGCTGATTCGGTTCTGCAGGCCCCCTTTCGGTTTCGATCGGTTTCGGTTTCGTCATCGGTTCGGTCGGCTCTCGGTTTCTCGGCAACTCGTGGCCGCCCATGCCCAGGCTTGGGCGCAGGATCCTGCAGGATCCTGCAGAGCCCAACTGACCTGGGTTTGGATTGACCAAGGTCAGTAGCTCCCCGAACACCCCCAGCGTCGGGGTCCTGGAGGAGGAGGAGGAGGAGCAGGAGGAGGAGATTATCCTCGACCCACTGAGGTCCGACGCTGCAAAAAAAGGTCTGAGCCCTGGACTGCATCTTTCTGCTTCACAATGGGGCCTCCTCCGCCTCCTCCTCCTCCTCCTCCTCCTCCTCCTCCTCCTCCTCCTCCTCCTCCTCCTCCTCCTCCTCCTCCTCCTCGTCCTCCTCCTCCTCCTCCTCCCTCCTGCCTCCTCCCTCCTCCCTCCTCCTCCTGAGGGAAACGGGTCCTGAGGTTTTTCGTTGTCTGCGGGCTCTCGCGGCCCTCCAAGGGCCCCGCGACAATCAGAAAACGACGCCGGATGAAAGACTCGTGCTGGTGGAAGGCCCCGTTTCCCTCAGGACCCGCTTCCCCCATGCCAATGCTGCATTTTTCTATCTGGATCGATCTGTGATGGTCCCGGGCCTTCCCAGGCGTATAAGACGGGGGCCAGTGCAAACGGGAGTCATTCAGAGCGCCGGATCTTGCAGGATCCTGCAGAGCCCGACTGACCTGGGTTTGGATTGACCAAGGTCAGTAGATTCCCGAATACGCCCTGTGTCGGGGTCCTGGGGTGGTGGAGGAGGAGGAGGAGGAGGAGGAGGAGGAGGAGGAGCACGAGGAGGAGGAGGAGAATGAGAAGGAGAAGGAGAAGGAGAAGAAGAAAGAGGAGGAGGAGGAGGAGGAGGAGGAGGAAGGAGAAGGAGAAGGAGAAAAAGGAGGAGGAGGAGGAGAAGGATGGAGATCAACTGCCGGGAGGGGTTGGCCCCCCGCGCCAGAGGCCAGAGCCGCCCGCGTGGGGCCCGAGGCGGCCGCGGCCGCGCGGCGGGGCGCGCCCGCTGCGGCCGAGGCCGCCGGCGGCGCGGGCGGCGCGGGCGCCACCGCCGCCTCGCGCGGAGGCGGCGGCGGTGGGCCGTTCCCGCCGCACGTCGCGGAGGGCAGGAGCTCGGCATCGCTCGGGCGCGGTGCCGTCTCTCCTCGGCGAGTGCCCCTCGAGCCTCGAGGAGCGTCGAGCTATATACATATACTATAGATATACAAATAAACAGGGAAACTGTAGACAGGGAAACTAATGTGTATATATATATATATATATATATATATACCAACAACAGCAAGAACAACAACAACAACAACAACAACAACAACAACAACAACAACAACAACAACAACAACAACAACAACAACAACCACAAAAAAAAAAAAACGAAATTACGCAGTGGGAAGAGAGACGTCCGAGCGATGGCGAGAAAAGGGTGATGCGCAGATGCTCTCGGAGCTCCGCGCGGGCTTCTCGGATCGGCGCCGGAGGCGCCGCCAGGGGGCCCGGCGCCGATCCGAGAAGTCCGCGCGGAGCTCTTGAAGTTGATGTTGCGCCGCTTTCTGTCCCTCCAGTATGGCAAGCCGGTCGCCAAGGGGTCGTTCGGTCCCCAGCGGCTCAGGGAGGCGATCGAGGGCCAGATGCGCCGGACACAGACGGCCCTGCTCGAGCAGGACCGCATCAAGCACGACACGTACGCTGGGCCGGTGAGCACGAGCGGCGCACACGTCAATGGTACATACCCACGCCCTCAGATTTAAGTCGGGCATGTCCTTCTACAGGAGGAATATTCAAAAATAGGCAGAAATAGTCTGAGGACGATGTTTTGGATGATCTGGACTCTTTTCGATGTTTCCTGGAGTATTTGTTGAATATGTGTTATTTGTCCTCCCAAGTCCGCCTGTAGGGGGACACGCCCGACCGAACCTCAGATCTCAGATCCCCTCGGGTCGTGGAGAGCACACGACGGGGAGCGTTCTTTCTGCTCGGGCCCTGGGAGCCCTCACTGGGCTTTCAGCACCGCCCAAAAAAGCAACTCCTCCTCCTCCTCCTCCTCCTCCTCCTCCCTCCTCCTCCTCCTCCTCCTCCTCCTCCTCCTCCTCCTCCTCCTCCTCCTCCTCCTCCCCCTCCTCCCCTCCTCCCTCCTCCTCCTCCTCCTCCTCCTCCTCCTCCTCCTCCTCCTCCTCCTCCTCCTCCTCCTCCTCCTCCGCCTCCTCCAAGAAAAGAGGATGCCGGGGCAGGCTCCCGCCTTCTCGGGGCCCACGTCGGGACAGAGCCACGGCGTCCGGGCTCTGGGCATCCCTGCCCTCGGGTGCCGAGGCGCCAGCCCACGGACGCGGCTCGCGCGGGACAGCCGGGCGAAGCCGGGGGAGCCTGAGCCGCGAGGCCGCGGATCGGAGGGCGGAGTGCGGAGAGCGGAGTAGGGGAACAAAACGTGGCATAAACAAAAAAACTCGGAGGTCCGCGCGGATTTCTCGGATCGGCGATGGGCCCCCCTCCTTGGCGCGCGGAGCGCGCCAGGGGCGGCGCCAGAGGCGCCGCCCGGGGGGCCCCAGCGCCGATCCGAGAAATCCGCGCGGACCTCCGAGTTTTTATGTTTGTGTCACTTTTGGTTCCCCTACGGAGGGGCCTCGACCGGGGAATCGGTTGCGGTGTCGGTTTCGTGTCGCGCGCGCGGGCGAGGCGAAGTTGCGCGGGGGCGACGATGTGTCGGCCAACGCTGAGGCCAAGTCGGACGAGAAGTTGCTCAGTGAGCCTCGCGGGTTGTCCCGTAGGCTGTCCCTTGGTTGCCCATGGGTTGATCCATGGGTTGTTGTGAAGTTGTTCCGTGGGCTAATTCCGCGGATTGTTTCGTGGGGTGTCCCGTGGGTTGTCTTGTGGTTGTCCCTTGCCTTCTCCCTTGGCTTGTCCCCTGGCTTGTCCTGTGGTTGCCCCATGGGTTGTCCCATTTGTTGTTGCGTGGGTTGTCCTGTGGTTGTCCCGTGATTGTCCCATGCTTGTCACGTTTGTTGTCCCCTGGATTGTGTTTTGGATTCTGCCGTGCATATACCGTAGATTGTCCCGTGGTTGTCCCGATGGTTCCTCGCGGCTGTCCCACGGTTTGTCCCGTGGGTTGTCCCGTGGTTGTTTTGGGCCGTGTTCTGTAGGTTGCTCCGTATTTGTCCCGTGGGTTGTCCTACGGGTTGGCACGTGAGAATGTCATACCGATGTAGAAGTTTTAGTTCAAACGATACGCAAATCGAAATGCAACACGAGTCGCAAAGCAAGACGCATATCTAAGTTCAAAGTCACCTGCAAAAGGCCACGCATAATCGGATTGCAAAGCGAATTACAAGTCACATTGCAATCACCAAAAAACTACCTGTACACCAAGTCGCAAATCCACATGCAAAAGCACATTTACTCGAAATGCACATCGAAACGCACATTCAAGTAGAATCGACATTCAGATCGAAGTGCCCACCGGAATGCAACTCGACGTCCAGATCAAATTGCAAGTTTTTTCATTCCCACCCCCGAACTATTCAGACGGTAGGACACCACATGAGAATATATGATCCAGGGTCGAGGGTTCACGGGCCCCCCCCACCCCACCCCAGATGGTATGGTCCCAGAGACGACGACGACGACGACGACGACGACGACGACGACGACGGCGACGACGACGACGGCGACGACTACGACGATGGCGACGACGACGACGACCACGACGACGACGACGACGACGACGACGACGACGGCTGCGGCGGCGACGACGCCGGCGGCGGCGGCGACGACGACGATGACGACGATGACGACGGCGACGACGACGATGACGACGACGACGATGACGACGACGACGACGACGACGACGACGACGACGACGAGGACGACGAGGACGACGACGACGACGACGACGACGACGACCTCTGAACCACCACAGCACCACACCACATCCACAGGGGGGGGGAGGGGGGCACCGCAGCGCAGCACCACGCCACGCCCACCTCTGAACCACCACAGCACCACACCACATCCACAGGGGGGGGGGGGCACCGCAGCGCAGCACCACGCCACGCCCACAGGGGGGGGCGGGGGGGACCATCGCGCGGGGGGGGGGCCCAATGGCATCAGCATTGGGGTGGGGGGCCCAAGCCCTGGACCATATATGCAGTTTGCCCCTCACTTTCCCCTCTTCGCCTTGGCAGGGGCCCTCCTCCCGCCCTCTGTTGCGCCTCCCCCTGCTCGTCATCTTCGCCCTCTGTCTCCTCGTCCTTGTCGTCCTTTCCGTCTCCCCCTCCTCTTCCTACCCTTTTTCTTCCTCCTCCTCCTCCTCCTCCTCTTCCTCCTCCCCCTAACCCTCCTCCTCCCCCTCGCCATCCGCCTCATTATCCCTCTCTTGTCTTCCTCCTGCCTGTTCTCCCCATGCACCTCCCCTGCCTCCTGGCCGGGGCAAGTAGATGTTCCTCGGCGCTGTTGCCGCCACGGCCAGCATGGGATCGCGACGCCGTTGGGGCAACCCCGCGGGCCAGGCCGTTAAGACAACACCGCGAGCCGCTGCTCGCGCGGAGTCAGCCGTTAAGACACACTTACAGGTCTCGAGCTAATCGCGGCCGCGCTCAGGCAGAAGGAAGCGCGAAGCCCAGCTCTGCCGCGGGTTGCTCCGCCTCAGCACTGGAGCTCCCCGCTTTCCCGTCGATCTCACTGAGCGCCTTCCGCAGGGACGCCGTCGGCTTGCGTTCCAGGAGCTCTCGCGTGGGCGGCCGCAGGGTCAGCATGTTCCGCATGCACGTGACGCAGGAGAACATGAGGCGCGGACCCCATAGGGAGGGAGCTCCCGCTTGAGACTTCCTCGCAAGTCACCCACGCACGAGGCTCCCGCCTGAGACTTCCTCCATATTCAGGCTTGAGGAGCACAAAAGTGACGACAGTTAGAGGTTTGAGGATGACCCGCTGGGATTCATAACATGATTTGCGGGCCCTATATGGAGGGAGCTCCCGCAGGGAACTCTCGCGCAATTCACTCACAGACGAGGTTCCCGCTCAAAACTTCCTCCATATTCAGGCCCGATGGGCCCAAAGGTGGCGACAGTTACAGGTATGAGGACGACCCGCTGGGATTGCTAATATGATCTGCAGACACCATAGGGAGGGAATCCAATTTCATATTTCTTCACAACTCACTCATCGACAAGGTTCCCGCTCGAGACTTCATATTCTGGCTTGTGGAGCTCAAAAGTAACGACAGTTGCAGGTCTGAGGATGATCCGATGAGATTTGGAACATGAGATGCGGGCCCCACAGGGGTAGGGCCCCCACCGGAGACTTCCTCGCAATCCACTCGCAGACGACGTTCCCGCCTGAGACTTCCTCCATATTCAGGCCTGAGGAGACCCCAAAAAAGACAGTTACAGGTTTGGGATTAATTATATGCCCCATGAGGAGGGGTTCCCGTTTGAGACTCCTCGCAATTCATTTAAAGAAGAGGCGCCCGTTCAAGCTCTTCGCCACATTCAGAAATGAGGAGCATAAAAGTGACAACAGTTACCGGTTTGAGGATGAGCCCCTGGGAGTAGTAATATGATTTGCGGGCCCTATATGGAGGGGGCTCCCGCCTGAGACTTCATCGAAAACTCACGCTTGAAGAGGCCAAGCATAACGACGGCGACGACGATAAGTACGACGACGATGATGACGATGATGATGATGGTGATGATGATTATGATGAATATGATGATGTTGTATTTCGAGTGGACCATCCTTCCACAAAGAGGATTGATACATGCAACGGTGATGTTGATGACGGTGTTGGAGTGATGATGCTACGCATGATGAGTATGATAGTGATGGTGACGATGATGATGATGATGATGATGCTGATGATGATGATGAAAGTGATGATGACGATGATGATGATTACGAGTGTGTGTGTGTGTGTGTGAGGGAGTCAAGGGTGGGTTGTGATGATGAGCATGAGGAAAAGTTTGAGCAGCATCACGGTTGTTTATGATTGGACCTGGTGAAGGTGATGACGACAGGAGGACTGGGTGAAGGGTGCCTGCGCGGGGTGTCCAGAGAAAACAAGAGCCCCGCTTCGGATGTGGGGAAAAACGATTCACGGTCGCCCGATGCACGGACCTGCAGGCGCCGTGCTGTTGGCAGGAGCCGCTGGCCGAGGTGGCGCCGACGGCGCGTCGGCTTGCGGGGCGCACGTACGGGCCCTAAGGCTCGCGTACGGGCGCGGGCCTCGAGCTGCATTGCCCCCCTCCTCTTCCTCCTCCTCCTCCTCCTTCTCCTCCTCCTCCTCCTCCTCCTCCTCCTCCTCCTCCTCCTCCTCCGCCTCCTCCTCGCAGTGCTTCGGGGCGGGAAAAAAATGTGCGACATCATGGATGTGTGCTTCCCCGGCGAGGTGAGGCGTGGGCTCACGACCCCCTTGCTGCTCCCACTGCCCACGGCGGACGCGCACGCGCCGCAGGCGCCTGGCGACGCCTCGGTGCGCAGCAGCGCCGGAGCGAGCCACGCCACTGCCGCGAGGTACCGCTGCAACTCGGACTCGCCCGCGCTGCGGGCAGGAGCTTGGGGGGGGAGAGAAGCTCAGGGGCAACGACAGGGGGGGATAGGCATGGGAGAGACGCATCGACCCCCAATCGTCCACTCCTCGCCGATAGGGGGCGCGATGCCCTCTCCCGCCCAGGAAGGTGCGGATTCGCTGTCGGGGGGGCCTAGCGCCGATCTGGGCGACGTATCGCCGGCTCCAGGTCGGTGCATCCCCCTTTCTGCCAGATCCCCCCCTTCGGGTTGCCCCCGAGAGGGTACCACTGCCGCCGCTCGTCGTGCGCGAAGAGACAGGATATACATATATATATATATATATAACTTTGATCTATATATATATATATGTATACATATACAAATATGTATATATACACACATATGAAAGAGCGTGTTCCACCGCTGCTGGCGGAAAACTGGGGGGGGTCACTACCGGTTCGAACCCCTCCCCCCCCCCCTCCGGAAAACCGGGGGGGGTCATTACCGGTTCGAACCCCTCCACCCCCCCCAGCTCATCATGAAAAGGGAGGGGGGGTCACTACCAGTTCGAACCCCTCCCCCCCCCCCCCCCCCCCCCCCTCGAAAAACCGGGGGGGGTCACTACCGGTTCGAACCCCCCCCCCCCTCGAAACCTAGTGGGGGTGCGGACAGTGGTGGGGACGGTGTTGGTGGGGACAGTGGTGAGGGGATAGCGGGACAGTGGTGGGGACAGTGGGACAGTGGGACAGTGGTGGGGACGGTAGTGGTGGGGACAGTGGTGGGGACAATGGTGGGAACAGGGGGGGACAGTGGACAGTGGTGGTGACGGTGGTGGTGGGGACAGTGGTGTGGGGACAATGGGAATGAGGTGGAAACAGTGGGACAGTGGAGGGTACAATGGTGGTGGGGACAGTGGTGAAGGCGGTGGCGAGGACGGCGGTGGGACAATGGGACAGAGGTACAGTGGGGACAGTGGTGGGGACAGTGGGGACAGTGGTGGGAACAGTGGGACAGCTCAGTGGGACAGCGGAGGAGTCAGTGGGACAGTGGGGACAGTGGGGATAGTCGGGCAGTGGTTGGGGCCGTGGAGACAGTGGGGAGAGTGGAACCGTGGTGGGAACAGTTCTGGGGACAGCGGGGACAGTGCGACAGTGGTGGGGCCACTGGTGGGGACAGTAGGGGCGGTGGTGGAACCAGTGGGGACAGCGGTGGTGAGGACAGTGGTGCTGGGAACACCAGTGGGGGATGTGATGCGGACGGTGGTGGGGACCGGGAGTCGTTTGCTGGCGGTGAGTAGGGGGGAGGGGAGGGGGGGGGGGTTCGAACCGGTAGTGACCCCCTCCGGTTTTCCGATCCGAAGGGTAAGGGGGGGGGGGGGCGGGAGGGGTTCGAACCGGTAGTGACCCTCCCGGTTTTTCCGGATCCGGAGGGGGGGGGGAGGGGGGGGGGGAAGGGTTCGAACCGGTAGTGACCCCCCTGGTTTTCGAGGGGGAGGGGGGGGGGGAGGGGTTAGGGGAGGGGGGGGTTTTGCCGGGGGAGAGGGGGGGGGGGAGGGGTTCCAGCAGGGGGGGGGGGGGGGGGATTTCGGAGGGGGGGGGGGGGCGACCCCCGGGCTCCGGAGGAAAAGGTTACCAAGTTTCCACAGTAAAGCGGCGGTGGATCACGCTCTCTCACACATATACATACATATATATAGAGAGAGAGGGGCATCATATATAAATATATATATATGCATATTATCCGCGCCCACGACCCCGCGGGGCAGGCCCCTGGGCCGCGACCCCCCGCGGCTGCGGTGCGTTTTTTTCCAGGAGGGGCAAACACAATGAGTCGTCGATCCCCATAAAGGCATGGGAAAATATGGGAAGTGGGGGGGAAGACGAAAATCCTGAGAATATAAGAAACGATCAGGAATTTGGGGAGTTGTGTATATATATATATATATATATATATATAGATGTGTGTATGTGCTTGTGTGTGTGTGTGTTGGAGGGGCTCTTCATTTTTGTGCGCGGATACCCCGCGCAGGACGTACCCTGGGTTTCTTACCAAGCGTGGGGGGGTGCCCCCCCCGACGGGGGTAAACCTCGCCCCGTCGTCGCGCTGCGACGGGGGTTCTATGCGGGGCTGTCGGCGGGGGTGGCGCCCCCCCGACGCTTCTTAAGAGACTCGGAGCACCTGCACGACCTCGCTAGGGGGCCACGTGCGAGCCCCACCCCTACCCCCCACGACTTCTGAGGGGGAGGGTGGGGTTCACTTCGCTCGGAACCCCACCCTCCCCCCTCGGAACTCGTGGGGGGTAGGGGTGGGGCTCGCGCGTGGCCCCCTGATCGTATCCCGCGGGATCGCGCCCCGGAATCCGGACCTCGCGAGGGCGCGGCCGAAGGAGATGCCCGCCGCTCGTGCGCGTCGCCTTCCGGCGGGGCCCTCACCGCCATGGCCGGCCTCTCCTAGGATATGCCTTGCTGGTCAGCAGGGACACGCCGCGCGAGGTCGGGGGAGCAGCGTTAAGGCGGGCATGCCCCTCGACAGGAGGAAGATCCGGAAATAGTCAAAAAATAGTCCGGGGACGATTTGTTGACTATCTTTTTGACAATGTTTGATTTTTTGGTTGCGAATGTTGTTTTCCTCCCAGATCCGCCAGCGGGGGGACACGCCCGACCTAAGAATAGCGGTATCGGTACTTGTTTTTGTTTTCCCAGGAGTGCGCCCACGGCAGCGGGCCTACTTGGGGATCGATTGGTATCAGATCGCGCAGCGGCGGCAGAGGTTCTCCTTGCTCTTCTTCTTGCAGAACCTGTACTTCTGGTGCTCCAGGCGTCCCAAAACGAGTCCGAGCAGATGGGTTCGGAAAATAGCGACGCATCGTCGATGCATCGGCGATGCGGCGCGATCCTCCACCCCCATCTTCTCCGACCCCAGCTGGGAGGCCTCGAGGTGCTACGCCGGGTACATCGTCGCCTGCGTCCTCATAGGCGGGATCGTTTTCGGGCTGTTGCACAACGACCTGGACGTCCACAGGGCAGTCTACACGTCCGCCTCCTGCGTCTCCCAGAGCGGGCTCGCAGTGCAGGACTGGTCGCAGCAGACCAGGAGCACGTACGTCGCCAGCTTCGTTCTGATCATCATGGGCTCCATGTCGTTGCTCCACCTCGTGCCTGTGATTCTGAGGATTTTGTCGTTTCGCATGCAGGCCAGGATGACGACCATGAAGGCAGTGCACAGTCCGAGGAGGCGCAACAAGAGAGGCGGCATCGTGACCTTCAAAGCCCCTGACAGCACCGAGTCCTTTAGTTCAGCACCCCGTTTCGCATGGCAGCGCAGCAAGTCCGAGGACTCAGCACCCCGCGGGGAAGCGCCCCCTTGGGCACGTCACGGGGAGGTAGTGCACACCGTGGACTCTGTCTTCTACGGCATGAAAGCGGGCACGCCCAAGCGGAGCACTGGCGGGTCTGAGGAATCTATAGAGGAGATGCACAGGAGTGGTAATGCAGGCAGAAAGCTAGTCCGGACTACCGGTGCTCTGCCTTTGTCGCAGCAGATAGAGTACAAGGCGCTGATCAAAATAATGAAGGTTATGCTGGCATACTGGTTTATCTCTCAGTCTGTCGGCGCCTCCATCTTCTACGCGTACTTTCGTTTCGGCTCTGGCCCAATCCAGAGCAGACTCCGCAGCGAAGGCATCTCCCCGGTATGGAATGCTCTGTATCTTGCTGTTTCGGCTTTCCAGAACAACGGGCTCGTGTTGACGCCCTCGTCGGTGATGGAGTTCAATCGGAGCCCAGTGCTGCTAAACACGATCGGAGCTCTGATCCTTCTTGGCAACACAGCATTGCCCATCATGATCCGATCCATTTCGATGAAGGAAAAATGCATCAGCATAAACTTTCGGAGCTCCGCGCGGAATTCTAGCGCCAATCCAAGACATTCGCGTGGAATTCCGAAAGTGTATGTTTATGCCATTGTTTCTTCATCCATGATCGTGTGGTGCTTGAGACAGCGGGCTCAGATGGGTTCCGTGGACCAGAAGGTGCTAGACTTCTTGCTAGACCACCCGAGACGCTGCTTCACGCACCTCTTCCCCGCCGTGCATACCGTCTGGCTGCTCATGGTGGTGGTGGCTCTCGGCGCGGTTCAGACCGCGGCTTTGCTGTGGGAGGACACCCACGGAGTGCAGACGTCTGCTCGGTGAGCCGCGGTAGCAATGTTAGGGGGGAAAAGTTTCAGTTTCGGGGTTCGAGGTTTTTGGTTGTTTTCGTAGGTTCTCGGCGGTGTTTCAGCCTCGGGATGCTCCCCAGCAGATGCGCTTCGCCAGGAGGCGTCTGGGGGTGCCCGGATCGTCCCGAACGGCCGCCGGAGAGCCGAGCTATGGCCCGAAAGCCAGGTGGAACGTCAGGGGGAGGGGGCACAGGTTCAGGGGGGGAGGCATCGACCCCCCATATCGCCCACTGATCGTTGAAAGGGGGTTGGTGGCCTTCGCGCAGGAGCATGCAGATTCGCTATCGAGAGCACATCGCCGATCAATTCGCGATGCATCGCCGACTCAAGGCTTCCATCCTGGACCCACTCGCGTCTTGAAAAGATCGCGACGGAAAGTTTTCGAAGTCTCATACGTGGGCCCTCGTTTTGAGCAGAGCACTGCTGTTCAACGTATGCATGCGTGCGTGCGTGCGTGCATGTATAGATGCCTACATGCATGCATGCATGCATACAGCAGGACTCCAACGGCCTGGCTTTCGCTGGCCTGGACGCCTGGGGGACGTGGTGGAACGCGCTGTTCATGGCGATCTCCACGCGGACCGCGGGCATGAACTCGGTGAACGTCTCATGGCTGAGCCAGCCCTCCACGTTCCTCATGGCCGTCATGATGTGCCTCCATGAGGGCCCAGGAGGATCGGGGGTTCAGGCAGATCGAGGATCGAGGATCGAGGAGGCGAAATGGGGAGGATCAAGGATCGAGGGTCGAGGAGGATCGATGGGAGGTCGAGGATCGAGGAGGATCGGGGCTTTGGAATCATTTTGGTTGTTTCCTTGCCTGGCCTTCGGGGAGGCTTCTAGGGAACTGTGGGGGCCTCTGGTGACCTCCAGAGACCTCCAGAGACCTCCGGGACACCCTCGGGGACCTCTGGCGGGGCTAGGATTGGGGCAAGTCCTTCCAGAACGCTCTCGGGTCGTTCCAGAGCGCTCTTGGACAGCCGCCGTTCCCGACACGTCCTCCAGAGCCGCCAGATCTCAGAGATACCCGATTGATCCAGGTCCGAGTTTGTCCCGCTCTCGGCTTCGCTTTTGTCGGGCGGTGTGTGTTGGCCGCACCGCGCGGTGAGCCAGTGGGGTGTCGGGGTCACCGCGCGGGTTTTGGGCTCGGGTTAAGTCGGGCACGTCCCTCTACAGGAGGAAGATTCAAGAATAGTCAAAGGAGTAGTCTGGTCGGAGGACGATGTTTCGGCTATGTTTGGCTATGTTTGAGCAGTTGTTGATTTTTCTGTTGTTCTTCCAAAATCCGCATGTAGGAGGACATGCCCGACCTAAGACTCGGGCCGTTCTCCGAGGACGTCTCGAGCGACTGGGGCCAGCGCAAGGTCCCAAAAAGCCGTACGGTGGCGGGCCGCGCGGTGAGGTCGTTGGAGATCCCGAGGTCACCACGCGATCCGTCACCGCACGGTTTTGGGGCCCCGAGTTTGACCTCCCCAGAGATCCGAGGATGTGAGTGTTTCAATCCTGCGGTCTTTCTTGGAGTTCGGCCTCCGGGGCCCGTTATCGGGCCGGGGGACCATCAAAAATGGATCCGGGACAAGAAACCAGTCCCGGGGAAGGGGTCGGAACCTCTGCGGCCGCGGATCGAAAAAAGCATCTCGGCGGAAGTCTGGGTCCAGGTATGTGGCATCCACCCCGACGGTGGTCATCATGCGCTTCTCGGCGCTCCAGGGTGCGCAGGGGGGGCAGGAGCTGGACATCACTGGGCGCCCAGAGGGTGTCGAGGAGGAGGTCATCCGCGGCGACAACAACACCCTGAAGCTCCAGGCGAAGAGGTACCTGACGCAGGACCCAAAGAAGAAGAAGAAGAAGACGCTTAACAAACACACACACACACACACACACACTTCTTCGTCGGCGGTTAGGCAAAGTGACTGCGCTGGCGATGAGCACACACACACACACACACACGCACGCACGCACACACACACACACACACACAAGCAAACAAACGTCTCTCAGCTCCGCACGGAGCTCTGAGAGCTTATGTGTATAGATGCCTTCTGCGTATGTCTCTCTTTTTTCCTGAGGACGTGATGTACTTTCCGCCGGCGGAAGGGCGGCAGAAGGTGGCGGAAGTAAAAAAGATACCCCCAAGAGATGAGAACGTTTTTGGTCTCAGGGTTTCCGAGATCCGCCATGTGTATGGTGTGTCTCTTCTTTGTTCCCTCCGAGGACGTGACGTACCTGATAGTCGCCATCTTCCTCATCTGTTGCTTCGAAAAGGAGCGATGGCGGGGGCGGGGCTGGAGGGTTTCTCCGAAGCGCTTAGGCGACCCGTCCTCCTCCTCCTCCCTCCTCCTCCCTCCTCCTCCTCCTCCTCCTCCTCCTCCTCCTCCTCCTCCTCCTCCTCCTCCTCCGCCTCCCCTCCTTCTCCTCCCCCTTCTCCTCCCCCTCCTCCTCTCCTCCTCCTCCTCCTCCTCCTCCTCCTCTCCTCCTCCTCCTCCTCCTCCTCCTCCTCCTCCTCCTCCTCTCCTCCTCCTCTCCTCCTCCTCCTCCTCCTCCTCCTCCTCCTCCTCCTCCTCCTCCTCCCTCCTCCTCCTCCTCCTCGGGTCGCCATCTTCCTCATCTGCTGCTTCGAGAAGGAGCGACAGCGATGGTGGGGGCGGGGCCGGGGCCGCGCACGGGCAACCGCGCCCCCCCCCCGCCCCCCCCCCCGCGGGGCCCGGAAGTGGGCGCGGGCCTGGCTCACCGGGTGCCTCTTGGAAGGCCCACCACCCCCCCTTCTCCTCCTCCTCCTGCCCCTCCTCTCCTTCTCCTCCTCCTCCTCCTCCTCCTCCTCCTCCTCCTCCTCCTCCTCCTCCTCCTCCTCCTCCTCCTCCTCCTCCTCCTCCTCCTCCTCCTCCTCCTCCTCCTCCTCCTCCTCCTACCTTGGGGCTGTCGTGGGGCTGTCGGGTGCTGAATTCTCCGTCTCCCCGTGCCGAGCACGTGCGCCTCGCGCCGAGGCCGCCGCGGCAGGCGTCCAGGCGGTGGCGAAGCCCAAGGAGGGGTGGTCTACACAATGTTCTGGAAACATTTCTGGCTGAGGCCGTCTCGTTGTCATGCATCGGGCTTCTGTTCTAAGGATATGGCTTTTGTTATGCAATTATGAAGCAGTTGTTGATGTTGAAAGATTGTCGCTGTAGGCCTAGATGACTGCCGGGGCTGGGGCTGGGGTCGATTTTAAAAGATTGTCGTCGGGCGCGGGGCTGGCTCCACTGCAACCTCCCCAGGGGTGCCCGCGGGTCGTTGGAAGCAGGTACTTGGGGATCTTCGGATGCCAATCTCCTTCGGGCGCCTTCCTAGGTCAGGAGTCGAGCGGTGTTCCCTCTTCCCTCCATCTCAGGGGGCCGCGCGGAGGCCACTCTGCTCTCAGCGCCTGCCTACTTCGTGCTTCGATCCACTTCTTCCGACCGGCGGGTACCCTTGCATCCGTGCCTATTTGGTCCAGCCTTGACTACTTCCGATGGCCCGCCGCGCACGAAAAAGCCCCAGCGCGGGTGTCCAAGGGGCTTGCATCCGTATCGCGCCCCCTCTGCACGTGAGCCAGGATGACTGGGCCAAAGAAGGCCGTGTCCTACACCCACAGAGTGTCGCGGCGCCGTTTGTTCCGACGCGTGGCCTTATTTCGTGGGGAGGGCGCTTCGGCCACTAGGGCGAACGCCGCCTCGGATGCGGTGGGTTCGCCGTGGGTTTGCCGCGGTGCCCGCTGCGTCTACGTGGGGCACGCGACGCAAGGTTTGCCTTGAGTTTGTCATAGTATCAGCGTCGTCCACATGGGCGCGTTGAGAACAAACGGTGCGGCGACAAGTGCATAATGAGATAAAGACCGAGATGGGTTCGGTCTTGGCATTGCTGGAAGAGTCCATGAAGACGTAGACCGCGAAGATGCCGTCCAAGCCGACATGGGTATGAATGTATACCCGTCGTCCGTGTGGCCGCCGACGGACATGCAGGAAAAGAATTCCTCCAAGGACAGGAACGAGAGAGACGTCGGCTGGGGGAAGCCAAAGGCTCCGCGGCAACATGGTGGAGCCCAGCGACCCGCGGCCGCCGACGCTGCAGAGGAAGTGCGTGCCCAGGCCTCTGGCTCCACGGTGGAAGCGCCAAGCGGGGAGAGGAATGCCCAGCAATCCCGCGGATGTCGGCACGACCGCGCGGTAGGAGTGCCTTCCAGCAGCTGGAGTGATGGAGAGCTGCAGTGCCAAGGGCGTTGGCTCCGCGGCGAGGACCAAGGCGCCCCTCCAGCAGCCGAGAAAGGCGGTAGAGAGGTGAGGTGCAGAAGGAATTGCACATGTCGACGAACATCACAAACACCTACACGTCCCCCCTCCCTCCCCGATGAGGCATCATGATGGAGGTGGCGCGGAGTTTAAGAGCGTGCCTTGGACAGGACTGGCCACATACGATGACGCAGTCCGTGTAGCACTGTGTGGTGTATGTTTCAATGCGTCGTTGCCCCCAGTCAGGGGCCCCAAGAAAATATACGATGACAGTGTTCAGCGCCTCGATGACGTTGCACCAGGGCCCAGCCACGCGCGGCTGACTCGCCAGCCCCCGCCGTGCTGACCGTTCCCGCTTTCGTCCGCCCCGACCTGGGGGCCTGTCAGGGCCCACTCCGATTTGATGGAGTCGATTCGACCTGAGCTCGCTGGGCTCGATCCGATTCGACTCCGATGTTCCAGGGGCCCGAGTTGGCCCGATGCCTACCGGGCGCCGTTGTGCATCCTGGCGCGGCCGATCGCACTCGATATCGGCTCACCGCCGCTGCGCCTCGACCCGACGCACACGCCCTGCCCGATCC